TCTTCTTCCTCTCCTCATTTTTCTTTTTTCTTTCTTTCTCTTCTTTCGCTCCTCTTATTATTTTTCTTCTTTCTTTCTCTTCTTCCTCTTCCTTCTCTTCCTCCTCCTTCCCCGTGTCCTTCCCCTCCCCCTCCTCCACCTTCACCTTCTGCTTCTCCTTCCAGGCGGATGGTCCCTCAATATGAAAGACTTGAAGCTGCTACAGACTATTGGGAAGGGAGAGTTTGGAGGTGAGTCACACCCAGAAACTTTCCTCTCAGTTTCTCACGGCGAGGCTTCAGTTTTGAAGGACCTCTTAACTTCTGGATAAGTGGTTTTTGGGTCCCGAAGGGAAAAGTTTGGGAAGCACTGCCTTAAATTCTACCACCTGTGTTCTTCCTTGCCAAGAGAGATGAATGGAGAGAAGGGAAGGCCGCTTGGTTACGCGCGAACTTGATCGGCGTCCTTTGGTTTAAACTTTTTAAGCTAGGATGTGGTTGGGACAGATGTTTTTCCTGCTCTGGAAAAAAAAGGACCTTGAGTTGGTCTGTTTGTGACCCGCTTCCTTCAGACGCCTGCTCTCTTTTGCAGATGTGATGCTGGGTGATTACCACGGAAACAAGGTGGCCGTGAAATGCATCAAAAATGACGCCACCGCACAAGCCTTCTTAGCCGAAGCTTCAGTGATGACGTGAGTCCCTGCCTCCTTAACTCCTTGATCTGGATTAACATCTGGTTGCCGAGAAAGATGGCGGAGAATGAAGCTGTGCCTGGAGATCAGGCTGCGTTGACCCAGCTTCTCCCAAAAGCTTTGGCTTTGAAAACGGTGGAGAATAGATTTACTTGCTCCCAAATTGTCAAGCTCAAGAGTCCATAGAAGAGATGTTAGGACCACTACTCAAAAAGTCTTGCTTCTCCTAGATTCCCATATAAAACTAAAACTGTGGAGCAGTGGTGGGATTCAAATTTTTTTACTATCAGTTCTGTGGCAGTGGCTTGATGGGCATGGCAGGGGAAAGATACTGTTCTGACCCAACCTGGTTCCAAGAGAGCCAACACCAGACAAAGGCAGCAGCCCCCACCTTTTAAGGTTTAATCCACAAATTCTGTTTCTTCACAGATAAAAGGCTACTTCCAACTCATTTTCTCCGACAAGAAAGAGCCTTGCCAAGTTGTTTGTCAAGGCTGCTAAAAACTCACAGATAAGAAATAGTTTACAAGAGTTTTTCAAATACTAACTATAATGTCCACGAGGCTGAGTTTCAGAACGTCTTTGCCTTCTGCAAAGAACGCTTCTTCAAACCTGGCTTTTATCCTCTTGAGGGAGGGGCCATCATCTTGCAGCCTTACTCCCGAGTCGCCTGTGCTGCTGTAACTGCTCTGTCCTGCGAGCAACCCTGTGTGCGTGCGCACTTGGCACAGGCTCCTCGGGAACCTCCTCATCGCTGCTGCCAGCCCCCCACAATCTCTGAAGGCAGCAGTCCACTCCCTAGTGGTCCTGACCGCTCATCTGAGTCCTCACTCTCCTCCACTGTCCGCACCTGCTGCCAGCTAACCACAACAGATACTGTAAAATCTCCATTCCCTCCCCACCCCACTAGCCTGCTTTCCAGCTCCTTTCTCCTGTGCAGGGCAACAAAAGAACCTGCTTTCCAGCTCTGTTCTCCTGTACAGGGCAACCAAAGAAGACCTAGCCAATCAGCTGGGACTCAATGGGAGGCGGAGAATAGATGGGGTTGGCGGGGCCAGTCAGAGGTGGGATTTGCCGGATCTCCAAACGACTCAAAATTTCCGCTACCGGTTCTCCAGAACTGGTCAGAACCTGCTGCATATCCACCTCTGCCGTGGAGGTTTTTGGGAACTGCTCTTACACGCCAAGGGAAGTTAAGAGAAATAACCCTCCAAACATTTGGGACACGAACTCTTTAAGGCATGTCAAACAAGGGGAAGGTGGGACTCCATAACTACGTTGTGCGAAAGTAGGGTCTTCCTTTGAGGCTTGTGGTAGGTGTGGTGTCCCTTGCCTGAAGGCCTTCACTTATCATGGAAAACGCTGGTTGATGCCTCTTTGATCTTCTTTCCATTTGGTCCATCTTATTGCAGGCAGCTTCGGCATAGCAATTTGGTCCAGATGTTGGGGGTGATCGTGGAGGAGAAAGGGGGCCTCTACATTGTCACAGAATTTATGGCAAAGGTAAGACCTTGCTGTGCTTTCCAAGGACGGTTGGTCTGGAAGTTGGACGTTGATGAAGAACATAGCAATGGGAGACTTACCTGTGGAGAAGGAGGACGCCTCCTTAAATTTGGCTTCTGCTTTCTGATGATCTTTGATTGGTTCATTGATTATGGGTCATCAAGTCAATGTTGACTCTTAGTCAACAGAAAGATTTTTCTCCAGGACTAAACTGGTCCATCAGGTCTTCAAGTAGTGCTCTCATCACCATTCATCTTGCTATTGGTCATCCTCTTCTCTTTCCTTACATTGTTTCCAACATCTTGACTTTTCAAGTCTTCGTGTTGATTCACATTCAGCCTTTAAGGTCTTTGGAATCAAATTCTTTTGACCCCAGAAATGGAGAAGAAAGGGTGATTTAGCATCCTTCTTCTTTTCATCTTGTCTGTTTCCCAGAATTGGAGCAGAAGTTGGAGTTACTTCAACTTCCCTTTCCTACATACCCTGTTGCAATCAGCATTATTTCTACTAGAATTATTTCGTTTCTGATAACACTTCCAAGCAACCCTTAGGGTTAACTATCTTCCTTCCTTCCTTCCTTCCTTCCTTCCTTCCTTCCTTCCTTCCTTCCTTCCTTCCTTCCTTCCTTCCTTCCTTCCTTCCTTCCTTCCTTCCTTCCTTCCTTCCTCTCTCCCTCTCCCATTCATCTCCTTGTACCTCCCCTATCAGTAAATTTCCAGAGTGAAATGCTATTTACTGCTGGCGTAAGCTGCAGTTTTGAAAATGTATTGGTTTTCCCCCCTTGCTTTCCTACATGGGTGTGTGTGTGTGTGTGTGTGTTTCTGCTTCCTACACAAAGAGGAGAGTGTCATCTACTTAGGGGTGCAACTAATTGCACTCTTGCCTTGTTCAGCCATTCCCTTTTTATCAATATTGCTAATATATCAGGGGTACATATCTTGGGACGAGTTTGATTTCAGAATTTCATGGGATTTGAAGGTGTTCTTGATCTGCCTTTTGGAGGATATTTTCAGACAGGGTATTTATTTCTTTATTACATTTCTACACCGCCCATACCCACCTAGGGGTGACTCTGGGCAATTTGCAACAACATAATAAAACACTTGGAGTGCATGGCTAAAAGCATAGTTTAAAATCGAATGAAGAACAAGGTTAGCCTTTACATGTTTAAAGAGAAAGTCAAAGTTTAAAAAATTCAGAAGACTAAAAAAAGTCTTGTGTTGTCTCCAACCTTGTTAAGAACTGGGGGGAAACCCCTTTCAACGTCAGTTTATTGAAGATGAAATTCCCTTGGGTTTCAGACTGGCTCTCTTATCACTTCTTGGCCATCTTAATCCTTTCTCTCAAATCTCCTGGCAGGGAAGTTTAGTCGACTATCTTCGTTCCCGTGGAAGATCTGTGTTGGGGGGCGAGTGTTTGCTGAAGTTTTCTTTGTAAGTATGTTGCTTTTTTTTGCGAAGAAAATGCTCAGTGTTTGTAGCAAAAAAAAAAAGGGGGTGGTGGTTGAAGCTTCATGGTGGAGAGGTGTGGCGGTTTCTTGGTGGCGTGGTGGTGTAGCCCCCCCTTTTCTTGAACTTCGCTCCTCGCTTGCCCGTAGAGACGTCTGCGAAGCCATGGCGTACTTGGAAGCCAACAACTTTGTTCACCGGGACTTGGCGGCGAGGAATGTGTTGGTCTCGGAGGACAATATTGCTAAAGTCAGTGACTTTGGGTTGACCAAGGAAGCTTCGTCCACCCAAGACACCGGCAAGCTCCCGGTGAAATGGACAGCACCAGAAGCACTTAGAGAAAAGGTAAGTGAGGCATGTCAGAGTGGTTGACAACTAACTCCTGGCTCAGACAGGTAGGACTTGACAAGGTCCACAAGGACACAGGGCTTGGTTCTTCCTTCAAGTTGAAGTCCTTTTTCCTCTTGCAGCTTGGTCAAGTTCACCCCCATTTCTTAATTCGGTGTCTTAAGGCTGCCTATTTATAGTGCCCAATCCTGTACAATCCCCAATTCCAATTTGATAATTCTTTGGGTTGGAGCCACACTCTCATTCCCTGTCGGCTGTTCGGCTTCCTCCTCCGAGTCTGATTCGGACAGCGGCATGACACTCTTTAAGACCAAGCAAACATGATCAGGGATCTGGGGTTTAGATCGTACGATGTACTGCTAAGGGAGCAAGGGATGTTTAGCCCGATGAAGAGAAGGATTGGGGGAGACAGGACAGCTTGTCTTCTAGTACTTGAGGGGCTCCCACGGGGAAATCTGGATTGACTTATTCTCCAGAGCATTTGAGGGTAGGACAATGGAAGCTCCTGAGAAGGAGATCCAACATGGAACCAAAGAGGAATTACCTGACCGTGAGAACGATTAATCGATGGAATATCCTCCCTCCCGGAGTGGTGGATGCTCCATCACTGGAGGTTTTCAAGAAAAGTTTGGACAACCGTTTGTTCAGGATGGTATAGGACCTTCTGCCTCGGGCAGGGGATTGAAGTAGAAGCAACTAGAAGTTCCAGCCCTAGGATTCTATGATTTGATAATTGGTTCTCTACAAAGGATGACGTACTCTGGTGGTGGAACATCTGGCCAGCTCGACCCAGGTCTTTTGACAATCTCTCTCTCTCTCTCTCTCTGTCTTCTTCTAACCTTGGCAGAAATTTTCAACCAAATCAGACGTATGGAGCTTCGGAATTCTTCTCTGGGAAATCTATTCCTTTGGGCGAGTGCCTTATCCGAGAATTGTAAGTGAAGTTTCAAGAGCCTCCAAAGTATTTGGCGCCTGACCCCCGGCTTATCTGATAGTTCCTTTACAAAAGCTGCCAGTGTCAGGAGATTCCTGTATTATAGGCAGTAAACAATGAAGTAGTCAGCTTGAACCTTACACCTGTGGATCTACGCTGTCTCTCTCTCTCTCTCTCTCTCTCTCTCTCTCTCTCACACACACACACACACACACACACACACACACACACATACTGTCTATATCTCTATCATCTATCTATCATCTCTGTGTGCCTGTCTATCTTATCTATCTATCATCTCTGTGTCTGTCTATCTTATCTATCTATCATCTCTGTGCATCTGTCTGCCTATCCATCTATATCATGTCTGTCTGTCTTGTCTGTCTGTCTACCTATCTGTCATCTCTGTATGTCTGACTATCATCTCTATCTATCATCTCTGTGTGTCTGTCTGTCTGTCCATCTATATCATGTCTCTGTGTGTCTGTCTACCATCTCTATCTCTGTCTGACTATCTATCTAATCTTTATCTATCTATCTATCTATCTATCTATCTATCTATCTATCTATCTAT